AGCGTAGAGTAGTGTAGTGTAGTGTAGCAGGGTTTCTAGAAAAAATTGCAAGATGGAGCACTGCAATCAGCGGCGCCACCAAGTGGGGAGATAGGGGTCTCCCTACCAGGGTATGGAGTTTTTGATAATTTTAAGTTAAAATAGAGCATTATATGGCTTCCTTGGGGCCAAAATTACTATCAGACAGGTCACAGTTAAAGACTGTGGCCACATGTGATCCCTGGTCAATGAGAATTTGATGGTTGCCAAAGGATCTGCTCCCCAGGGTAAGGGGGCACATGGCCATGGCTGCGCCCACATTCCCTTGTTTAAAAAAATCCCTGGTGTAGTATATGTATATTGTAGTGTAGTATATTGTAGTGTAGTATATTGTAGTGTAGTATATTGTAGTGTAGTATATTGTAGTGTAGTATATTGTAGTGTAGTATATTGTAGTGTAGTATATTGTAGTATATTGTAGTGTAGTATATTGTAGTGTAGTATATTGTAGTGTAGTATATTGTAGTGTAGCATGGTGTAGTAATAGAAAGTGTATAACAAGCAGCTGTGGACTGTAAACAGGCTGACTGTGTTCAATGCACTTTGACTCGAAAGAGATGACCTGCATCTGTGCTGCAGATTGTGATAGATGATATCATAAAATACAACTGGCTGTTTCTAAAATTACACAAGTTTAATCAACTGCACATGGGGCTCTGCTTTAGGAAGTATTTAATGACAAAACAGTCAGCTTGCTTCTCTATGTGATTAAAATGCAATGCGCTCACATTTACATCTATTACTCCCAGCCTTCATCTTATGCAGCCAGTGACAAAAATGTGATGACATCAGAAGTTCAAGTTGTCAAATGCTAATGAATATAGGTTATAAGACTACTGTGTTAAAGTTATTTCATTTAAAGCAATATTGTGATTTTAATTTGATATCATTCTCATCTTGTGATGTGTACCATTCTTGTCTACCAATGCAGAGGGGAAAAACAATCAAACTTTCTCAATTATTTTATCCCAAAAATGGAAAAAGTTTTTGTGATTAAACTTAAAAATGTATACAATTGGAAATTATTGCTATTATTATACCAGAATGTACTGTAAAATACTTTATTTTAGCTGGAATTAATTTTTGCTGACAACAAATGTTTTGGGTGTTTTGTATGGAATTTATTTTCACTGACAAGTTGAATGTAAAATATAGGAAAAATGTATATTCACTATTTTCTTTGTGTGTACCTTCAGTGAAAATA